GTAGCAGCCACAGACGTGGTAGTAGGAGCCACAGGCGTGGTAGTAGGAACGATCGGTGTTGTAGTAGGAGCCACAGGCGTTGTAGTAGGAACGATCGGTGTTGTAGTAGGAGCCACAGGCGTTGTAGTAGGAACGATCGGTGTAGTAGTAAGAGCCACAGGCGTTGTAGTAGGAACGATTGGTGTTGTAGTAGGAGCCACAGGCGTGGTAGTAGGAACAATCGGTGTTGTAGTAGGAGCCACAGGCGTGGTAGTAGGAACAATCGGTGTTGTAGTAGGAGCCACAGGCGTGGTAGTAGGAGCCACAGGCGTTGTAGTAGGAACGATCGGTGTAGTAGTAGGAGCCACAGGCGTGGTAGTAGGAACGATCGGTGTTGTAGTAGGAGCCACAGGCGTGGTAGTAGGAGCGATCGGTGTTGTAGTAGGAGCCACAGGCGTGGTAGTAGGAGCTACAGGCGTGGTAGTAGGAGCCACAGGCGTTGTAGAAGGAACGATCGGTGTTGTAGTAGGAGCCACAGGTGTGGTAGTAGGAGCCACAGGTGTGGTAGTAGGAGCCACAGGCGTGGTAGTAGGAACGATCGGTGTTGTAGTAGGAGCCTCAGGCGTGGTAGTAGGAGCCACAGGCGTTGTAGAAGGAACGATCGGTGTTGTAGTAGGAACAATCGGTGTAGTAGTAGGAGCCACAGGCGTGGTAGTAGGAACAATCGGTGTTGTAGTAGGAGCCACAGGTGTGGTAGTAGGAGCCACAGGCGTTGTAGAAGGAACGATCGGTGTTGTAGTAGGAGCCACAGGCGTGGTAGTAGGAACAATCGGTGTTGTAGTAGGAGCCACAGGTGTGGTAGTGGGAGCCACAGGCGTGGTAGTAGGAACAATCGGTGTTGTAGTAGGAGCTGCAGGCGTGGTAGTAGGAGCCACAGGCGTTGTAGAAGGAACGATCGGTGTTGTAGTAGGAGCCACAGGCGTGGTAGTAGGAACCATCGGTGTTGTAGTAGGAGCCACAGGTGTGGTAGTAGGAGCCACAGGCGTGGTAGTAGGAACAATCGGTGTTGCAGTAGGAGCCACAGGTGTTGTAGTAGGAGCCACAGGCGTGGTAGTAGGAACGATCGGAGTGCTTGTCGTGAAGCCGGTCGAAGAAGTGATCGAGGACGTCGATGATGTAGTTGGAGCGGTCGGATCGCACGTAGTTACATCACCACAGAACTGGTCACCGAATTGACAAACAGCAGGCGACTGCCACCATTTACAGTAACTCGCAGGGCCATTCAAACTTTGACAATAACGATCGCAGGTTTCCGAGTCAGTCGACGGTGGTGTGGACAAGGACGGTACAGTAGCTTCAGGTGGAACTGAGAGAAACATTCAGGACACTAGAATGCAGCAATGGTCCTACCATCACACACGTCAGGCGAGCAAGGCTGATCCCCCGCCTGGCAGACTGGAGGAGATAACCAATACTTGCAATAGCTCGGCGACCCGTTCTGAACTAACGGACGAGGAACATCAGAAAGCAGTGAGTCTCCAAAGAGCAACCTTACTTTGACAGTAAAGATCACAACGCTGTCGAGCTTCAGGACTGTAGGTGGGAGCGTCAGTGGTAGAGACTTGAAGGCGTCTTAGTTTAGCCGCACCGGGGACCGCGAAGAGCAAGCAGCCAATGAAGGAGAGATGGAGAGTCATCGGGACCGAGAAAACACAGATGCTTACCTGAGACTATCACATAATGTGAAATACATACATATTTTCGGAAAGCATTTTGTCCATCATTAACCGTATCAGCATTCACTGTGAACCTAATCAACTTATGGTCATGTACCGCATCTAA